AGAATGGTGTTATGTGCATGAGTCCTGTGCTTGTCATATGAATAGACACTGAATTTTAAATACCATAATGCATTGGGCTATGTTTTACAGATACAAACCACCTTCCTCTCTTGGCTGTGTTTTTCCATTGTTGCACACTAGTGTAGTAACCATGACCCAGTTTCCACTCCCTCTTGATAGAATATCTCTTGATAGAATATCACGTGATAAGAGATGTGGGTAATTTGGAAATCACAGATTAGAGGAGAGAAAGGGTGAATTGGGAAGCGAGAAATAAGCACACTGGGAAATTGACTGCATTTAAACACTGCAATGCTGTGGTTTGTCTCAAGCCACCAGTATAGTGTTCACACACAATGTGCTTTGTAGTGAAATCAATTCGTATTGCAATTCAGATCATGTATGCATATCTGTGACGGCTAATTTTATTACTTCATTAAGCAGAAATGATATAGAATAGTCCTCAAACTATACTTTTTGTTAGTCATGTGATGTTGCCTCTTGACTTGAATCATGCATGATTTATTTATAACAAGCTGCATATGACAGCTGTCTGAGTAATGAATGTTTGATGGGGTTTGTTTCACATAGACAGTAAAACGCTCAAATTGCATGTTTGTTACAGTGGCATTTTAGTTTTGGACAAACTTTATATATACATATACAAAGGTCAGAGTTATTAGTAGTGCTGCTTTCTAACCTTTTCAAACTTCCGGGTTTAGCAGAGTAAAGGGCATATAGTATCATGTGAGGCCATAGCAAATGTTATTGTTGCCATGGGTCACGGGGGCGGGGGGGGCGCCTGGGCCCGGGCCCGGGTTACTTTTGACGTCTGGTACAAATATGACAGGCTATAAGGCTCATATGTATTTTTCTAGCCTATGTATGCACGTTTAATCATTACAAGATTGCGATCTTGATTCAAACACACGCAATCTTATTCCTAAATGACGGTGATTCTGCTATGTCTATTAAACCTTTGAAATCACAGTCACATCGGAATATTTAAACCTACTTTTGCACAGCCGCTGATGCAGAGATAGCAGGGCTCATCATGTAAAGCTTTGTTTGAAACCGCTTCACAAACAGTCTGCTTACACCGTAGGCTACATTTCTGTCTTGCAAACATTAACGAAAGTATTGATAAAAGTTTAAAGTCCGGATGTAGACTCTGATGTTGCGGGAGCCGGGATCAAAATGGGTCTTTGAAAGTAATGATACGCTGCAAATAATGATTGTATGTGTTACATTATTCCAGTAGCTGGCGAACAGTGAGTGTTAAATGTATTTGATGTCTGAATCATTCATTCAAGAGATTCAAAACGAAACAAGTCTTCATTTATCTTCATAATAAATATTTTTAAATAGACTAATTTACTATAACATTAATAAAACATTTTGGCTAATATACCAACTAACTAATACCATTAGTAGGTAATATATTTATTTTATAGGTAATATTACTACTGTTACTACTGTTTAAATTAGTTCTGCAACCCAATCGCCCCAAACCCCCCCAGCGCATTAAGATATTTTTGATGCATTCCCAGAACTCTCTGACCCCTCCCATAGACAGCAAGGATCCTTACACCATCAAGGTTCAGAGACATAGCAAGGAGATCGTTAAAATAATTCATGTGACATCAGTGGTTCATGTATATTTATATATGTGATACTCATGTGATACTGGCGCTATAGGGTGACGTGGAGGAGACGAATTGTTGAATAAAGTCATTATTTTTGTTTTCTTTGTTTTCTTTAAGTATTCTCATAGCTTCTGTGCTTGTCATATGAATAGACACTGAATTTTAAACACCATAATGCATTGGGCTATGTTTTACAGATACAAACCACCTTCCTCTCTTGGCTGTGTTTTTCCATTGTTGCACACTAGTGTAGTAACCATGACCCAGTTTCCACTCCCTCTTGATAGAATATCTCTTGATAGAATATCACGTGATAAGAGATGTGGGTAATTTGGAAATCACAGATTAGAGGAGAGAAAGGGTGAATTGGGAAGCGAGAAATAAGCACACTGGGAAATTGACTGCATTTAAACACTGCAATGCTGTGGTTTGTCTCAAGCCACCAGTATAGTGTTCACACACAATGTGCTTTGTAGTGAAATCAATTCGTATTGCAATTCAGATCATGTATGCATATCTGTGACGGCTAATTTTATTACTTCATTAAGCAGAAATGATATAGAATAGTCCTCAAACTATACTTTTTGTTAGTCATGTGATGTTGCCTCTTGACTTGAATCATGCATGATTTATTTATAACAAGCTGCATATGACAGCTGTCTGAGTAATGAATGTTTGATGGGGTTTGTTTCACATAGACAGTAAAACGCTCAAATTGCATGTTTGTTACAGTGGCATTTTAGTTTTGGACAAACTTTATATATACATATACAAAGGTCAGAGTTATTAGTAGTGCTGCTTTCTAACCTTTTCAAACTTCCGGGTTTAGCAGAGTAAAGGGCATATAGTATCATGTGAGGCCATAGCAAATGTTATTGTTGCCATGGGTCACGGGGGCGGGGGGGGCGCCTGGGCCCGGGCCCGGGTTACTTTTGACGTCTGGTACAAATATGACAGGCTATAAGGCTCATATGTATTTTTCTAGCCTATGTATGCACGTTTAATCATTACAAGATTGCGATCTTGATTCAAACACACGCAATCTTATTCCTAAATGACGGTGATTCTGCTATGTCTATTAAACCTTTGAAATCACAGTCACATCGGAATATTTAAACCTACTTTTGCACAGCCGCTGATGCAGAGATAGCAGGGCTCATCATGTAAAGCTTTGTTTGAAACCGCTTCACAAACAGTCTGCTTACACCGTAGGCTACATTTCTGTCTTGCAAACATTAACGAAAGTATTGATAAAAGTTTAAAGTCCGGATGTAGACTCTGATGTTGCGGGAGCCGCGATCAAAATGGGTCTTTGAAAGTAATGATACGCTGCAAATAATGATTGTATGTGTTACATTATTCCAGTAGGTGGCGAACAGTGAGTGTTAAATGTATTTGATGTCTGAATCATTCATTCAAGAGATTCAAAACGAAACAAGTCTTCATTTATCTTCATAATAAATATTTTTAAATAGACTAATTTACTATAACATTAATAAAACATTTTGTCAGAAATGTAAATTACATATTTTGTTTGGTTTTCTGTTTTGTTTTCAGAATCGTTGGAAGAATCATAGCTTAAATATACATATGCTAATATACTGTATGTGGCAACTAACTAATACCATTAGTAGGTAATATATTTATTTTATAGGTAATATTACTACTGTTTCTAATATTAAAATTAGTTCTGCAACCCAATCGCCCCAAACCCCCCCAGCGCATTAAGATATTTTTGATGCATTCCCAGAACTCTCTGACCCCTCCCATAGACAGCAAGGATCCTTACACCATCAAGGTTCAGAGACATAGCAAGGAGATCGTTAAAATAATTCATGTGACATCAGTGGTTCATGTATATTTATATATGTGATACTCTCCAAAATGGCGCTATAGGGTGACGTGGAGGAGATTAATTGACAGAATTTTCATTTTTGGGTGAACTATCCCTTTAAAGCCCAATGTAAAGGGGTAAAACAACACAGCGAGTTCTTGCCAAGACTGCTAAACGGTTGTCAAAATTAGTATTTCTCATGCAATATTAAGTCTACTTTAATGATTAATTGAGCAAACAACTTTATAGCTAATAAGTAATGGATCCCTCAGCTTACTTGGTATGAGCCAAAAATAATGCATGTTTTATTTTTTCTGCACATTTTTCTTTTAACAGACAAAATGAAAGGTGCAAGCAAATCTTATAGATGTAGCAACTAGGGATGTCACGAGAACTGATCGGTATAAACATTTTAAAATCCTGCCGGTACTTTTCCTCAGTAGCATAAGTACCGATGGAACTGAGGGTAGCGACTAGCGAGGCTGCAGTTCTTCCGGAACTGACGGAGGGGCAGGCAGAGCATACACCTGGAAGTGTTTCAGTCAGTCCTCAACAGTGTTGGGAGTAACGCATTACAAAAGTAATAATATTACAGTAGTATATTACTTTTTGCTGTAACGCAGTAATATAACGCATTACTAATCAAATTTGGGTAATATTATTACTCTACTTTTCCTCAGTAGCGTAAGTACCGATGGAACTGAGGGTAGCGACTAGCGAGGCTGCAGTTCTTCCGGAACTGACGGAGGGGCAGGCAGAGCATACGCCTGGAAGTGTTTCAGTCAGTCCTCAAAGGGTTAAGAAGAAGAAAAAACGCCTAAAAACCACACAGAAGAACTACTCATGGAAGACAGCGACTATATATGAATATGATTGTGTGAGATTTAAATGAGAGCACGCAGCTCTGAAAGCACGAGTGCTGCGCATGATCACACACGCATACATAAAGTTATTGACTGTTTGACAGCTTACCGCTTGTTAATTCGTTGTGTATCTGTCCGCGGATTATCCTTATCAACATTATTGGCTAATATTACTGGTTTAGATTGGTTTTGTTAATGGTTTTAAAAAATATTTTCGGCCTGCCAGTATGTCAGTGAATTTAAACTAGGCCTAATGCTTGCATTCAGAGTATAGGTAGGTGTGTGTGTGTGCGTGAGTGCTTGTGTGTGTTATTTGAGGGCCAAGTGCCACTAATGTTGTGTTTTTGTAAGTTTAAATAAAAGAGTTAATGTTTAAGTATTATTGCTTTTTTTTTTTTTTCCTGTGGGATCGACTACTAGATGTTTGGTATCGTGACATCCCTAGTAGCAACTTGGCAACAAGCATAAAAATTGCACTAAAAGCTTTAGGAACTACATATCAATGCCCTGGAATTGTGGCAGCGTGTTTTTCACAGGAAAACATCATTAATGTTTTCAGAAAGTGTACAAATCTAGTAATGCATTTAAAAAACGTTCTCTGTGTGCCACTGTAGCAGGAAAGCCTCTCTGACAGATGCATCTGTTGTGTTGTGACAGGCGGTGAACTGTAAGGGCCAGCACAGCATCTCCTACACGCTGTCCAGAAACCAGACGGTGGTGGTGGAGTACAGCCATGACAAAGACACAGACATGTTCCAGGTACTGTTTCACAAAAACAAAAAAGACTTTGAAATCTCTTCTCCTCTTGTATCCACAGTTAAGCATAATTCAGTTTCTGCCTGTTGCCTTTCTCTATACTTTGAGGTCTGATTTCCACCAGGGCTGATCAAGATCTGTGATATGGGACAGGTTTATTAACTCCCCCAGTCACGTGCTCAGATACAGTGTTGCGTATGTGTTTTTTTTTGGACTACGCATGAGGGAAAGAGTCATACGGATTGAAGCAAATGGGAAGGAAAGCAAAAACAGGAACCAGCAGCAACCCACAGGGACAAAACAGAAACTGTCTCTATAAAAAGGAAATAAAGTGGAGACCGTTGCATCTTTATTTCAGAACAAGTATTTATAAACAGGATTTAGTGCAGTGAGCACCTCTCTATTCTTGGGAATTTCCACCCCACTTTTAAAACTAAATTAGGCTCTTCAAACAAGTCCCGGCACATGCATGACTGTTTTTCATCCTGTTTACTACTGATACCAAATAGTGTAGAAACAGTAGTGATCGCTTGGCTCAAAACCATACAAAAGATTTTACTGATAAAAAGCTGCTTTAAACGCAAAGGATGCTCACACCAAATGTTGATTTATTTTAGTTAATAGAAGTTACTTGATGAAGAAAATCTATTTATGACATTATTTTTGACAGCATTCTCATTTCACAGCATTTTTACATAAGTGCCTAAAACTTTGAACAGTACTGTAGCTTTGCAGGTAGGTTTCTTGAAACATCTTGAAGATGCATGTGCAAACAAAAATCTCACTGGATTATTACAATTAATGGCAAAATGAATGTTTGGAAATGTAAACTGATATTTCCTACTGACACACTACAGCAAAAGATAGAAATAACTGACTTAAAACCATTTTTTAGCTGGTGAGAATACTAGCGTTCTAATAATTTTGGCCACCACTGTAACTTTATAGTAATATAATATAAATCTTTATATAAGAATATTTGTTTTCTCCTAACATTGTTCTTACTGTCATGACCTGGAATATAACTTATTAGATAGTTGCTGGAAAGTTGTAAGAGATGGCTGAGAAACTTTAACTTTTTTCTTTTGTATGTTAGATTGGACGATCAACGGAGGGCCCTATTGACTTCGTGGTGACTGACACCGTGTCAGGCGGAGGGGAGAGTGAAGACACACCCATCACTCAAAGCACCATCTCCCGCTTTGCTTGCCGGGTGGTGTGTGAACGTAACCCGCCCTACACAGCATGTATCTACGCTGCAGGCTTCGATTCTTCAAAGAATATATTTCTCGGAGTAAGTGCGTTTTCTTGCCTGGTCTTGAAATGGAATTGTCTATGGGATGCATTTCTCATCAGAGTTACAAGAAACTCTATTAAGCTTTCATTTATATATACTTGTGTATGTGGTGTCTGGGGAAGTATCCACTTCTGCTGATTCAGTGGAACTGATCTAAACTTACCTGGTAAATATAGGTGTGTCCGGCTAACTGGAATGAGTCACCCCATGTGTAACTAAAAAGAGAATGCAGCGCATTCATTTTTGTTTATGTATAGTAATTAAGTCTCTCTGTAGGAGAAAGCAGCCAAATGGAAGAATCCAGATGGTCACATGGACGGGCTGACAACCAATGGTGTGCTAGTCATGCACCCGCGGGGCGGGTTCACAGAGGAGTCCAAGCCTGGTGTGTGGAGGGAGATATCAGTGTGTGGAGATGTTTACACACTGAGAGAAACACGGTCCGCTCAAACTCGAGGCAAACTGGTTAGTACGTCAGCTGCATCTGCTCAGTTTAGTTCACGGTGTAGTCAATCATCAATTCACGCACAATTCCTTTTACAAGTTGTGATATACAATCAAGCTCAAATTGCAGAAACCATATAGACTTAATTATCTGAACTGCAGATCAGAATTAGGGGTTCAGTCCAGGGTCAGGAGGTTTCTTGAATCTCGTTGAGGTTCCAGACTATATAGATGGAACGTTACTAGTGTAGCAGTGAAGATTCTGGGATAGCAAGGTGTACTGGTTCAAATCATGGGATGACTGTTGAACTGAAGATTAAAGAGGACCCTACCATGCCCTGACTAGGACACTCTACTCTCACTGATGTACTCTAGATCAAGTTGTTTACTTTTAAGTACCTATGTATATTATGTCTTGTTTGTTTCTCTGTGTTCAGTTTGCAAATTCAGTTACATTTGCCTGCTATGGACCTTTTTCACATTTCAGGGTTTCTTAGCAGTGGAAGTCGTCATAGTTGGGTAAACGTCTATAGCGGTGAATGGGAGACTACATCAAAGGCTGCGTTTACACTTGGCATTAACATGCGACCTGTATCCGGATGTTGTCCACATACATATTGAAAAGACAAGTGTAAACGCGCTTCTGATCGGAATGTTATCCGATCAGCGTGTCCTGGTCCAGAGGTAGTAGAAGACGCATTGTGATCAGATCTCGGTGTAATGTAAACGCAATCCAGCCATCGCGTCTGCATTCGCAGGTCGACATCACGCAAAACGCCACCCCCTCTCTCCCGATCTGTCGGAAGAACAGAGTGCTAGTGAGACTCGTACATTTATTTTGATTTGTAAAATGTCCCCACCACTTGTGATTTGTAAAATGTCCCCACAAAAGAAAACCCACCACTTCAGGTTGACTTTGCACTGCAGACTTATTTAAATATTGCGCAGGAAATACAGATCCGATCGGTTATCCAGATCGAGAAGTCAGCTGATGTTGCCAAGTGTAAACGCGCCGTGTCCTGATTGACTGATGATCCGATCTGCTTGATCAGATCACGGTGATCGCATGGTAATGCCAAGTGTAAACGCAACTATATTGAAAATAAACACTAAAACACTATACTGAAAATAAACAACTAAACTCAAAATAACAACTATATTGTTAACATTATATAACTAGTGTTTTCACGACTTTCAAAAAGATGAAAAAAACAACAACAACAACAAAAAAACGGAGTCTGATAACGGCAGTCAGGAGAAAAAACAATGTCAAATTCACCTTAACTCCCATAGACCCTGTATTAGAAACACCCTCACAGCAGTGTAAACCTAGTTTTTTGTCATTTAATGCAAAGGTAATGTATTATCTTATAAATGTGCATGCATTTAAAAAATGAAAATATAAAAAACTTTGCAGGATTTGCGATGCTGATGATTCAATGTGCTGTCACAGTCTGTGAAAAGGGTTCATATTTAATTTTGGTAACACTTTACTTAAATCCTTTATGTATTATAGTAGTTATAATAGTAGTTTTAATGCATTATGCACCTTATTATGCATTGTTCAATCCCATTAATAATTGTAACCAGTTAATACATTATAACACTTATAAATTCATTGTTACACTATGCATTTTAAATTTGGTAAGTATTTATATTACCACAAGATATAATGTATTACAAGGCACATTATGAATAATTTTAATGCATCATACCCTTTAATAACCCTTTGTAATGCATTATACATAAAAGCTTCAAGTAAAGTGGTACTTTATTTTTTGGGGGGAAATTTATTTCTTTGCTTTGCTTTCTTTTTAGCTGTCAAACATTTCACACTTAAAAAAAAAAAGTTACTTAGTTTACATACTTGGCCCTACAGTATTTTTGAGTCTTTGAACCTCTAGCTCCTCCTGGAGGACAAATGTGGTTCTGCATGCATTGTTACCATACCATCAATTTCAATACCACAACAGCTGTTTTGCTAATAAACACACTGCTAAAAGTATATGTTAAAAATATTAACATATTTAACCAATATCCTTGAGGTTTAATGTATTTCTCATTTAAACAAAAGTTTACAGTATCAGAAACTGAAAAACAATATCCATTCATTCGTCAAACAGCTTGTCCTCTGTATGATTGCAGAGCTGGTGCTATGGGCAATTTAGTGTCTCCAGTTCACCTCTGCATGTTATGAGGATTGTGGGGTAAACTGGACCCAGATGAAACCTACGCAGACACGGGGAGAACATGCAATCACAGATAGTGCTTTTCCACTGACAGGGTTCTCAAGTCATTCTGTGCATTTTCGCTGCATGAAAGGGGGCCGGAAAGATTGATTTAACTTTCTGGTGGAGAATTGCTGACACTGTCTATGGCGGGCTCATTGAGAAATGTTGCAACGTTGCACTAAATTGCTCTGCTTGTTTAAGTGTATAAAACTGCACGAGAGAGAGACAAACTGCTGATTCACTCACTCTCTTGCACATTAAGTTTCAGTATCTTTCCAGCAGAAACAGAAGACAGTACTGGCAGTTTATGACAACTGCCGATATACTAGAATCACTCCCAGTACCGTGAAAAGCAAACCGTAAGTGCTGCATGAGAGGCCTCCTGGCTCTGGCAGGACTCAAACTGGGGATCTTCTTACTGTGACAGTGTTACCTACCGTGCATCATAACAATAGTAAAACTACTTTCATTTGCATTGAAGCACAAAAAACACACCCAAACAGTGACCTATACAGATGCATTTATCTACACTTTATCAGTGTACAGTTATGATTGTTGTAAACCATAATGCAATTTGTCAGTGACTAGTTATTCAGACGCTATTGGCTACATGCTGCTAACAATTAAGGCAGACTATTACAGCCCATAGGCTAATCTATAAACTGTGTAAATAAGACTTCCTGGCCAGCTTAGTGGAAAAATAATCTTAAAATGTCTTTCTGCCCTTCAGGTATTGTTGTAAGGCAAACTGGGTTCAAAGGTCAGGACAGACGTGAGAGCAAGACTTTGTTTATCAGGCCTGTAATGGGAGCAGTTAACCAGTCAGACTTTACTGGAAAGCCGTTGAATTTAAAGGGATAGTTCTTCCAATAATAAGAATTTACTCAACCTCAAGCCATCCTAGGTGTATATGACTTTCTTCTTTCAGACAAAAACAATCTAAATTATATAAAAAAAAATGTTGATTCTTCAAAGCTTTATAAAGGGGAGGAGGGGAGGGGAAGTGGGGTGTTGGGGTCGAGATTTTGAAGTCCAAAAAAGTGCTCCACACGGCTCTGGGGGGAGGGGGGGTTAATAAAGGCCTTCTGATGCGAATCGATGCGTTTGTGTAAGAAAAATATCCATATTTAAAACTTTCTAAACCGTAATCTCTGGATTCCACTCTTATATCAAAATCCTTTACAACTCCTCGTTTTGTACTTCTAATTCATGACCGGTGTTTTGTTTTGCTCTCTCCTCATGCATTTCTGCGTTCGTCACTTCTCACCAGAGCTTACGCTACGCCTACGTCATCCGCTGGAGCGCTACTCTCTCGTGAACGTGTGTACAACAATTTGCAGAAGCTAGAAACGACCGTTTATAAAGTTTTCAAATATGGATATTTATCATCTACAAACACATCGTTTCACTTTAGAAGGCCTTTATTAACCCCCCGGAGCCGTGTGGAACACTTATGATGGACGGATGCACTTTTTTGGGCTTCAAAATCTTGACCATCATTCATTGCCACAAACCTGGACTGGCCATTTGTCCAAGGTGTTTTGCCGCCTTAAGGCCTCCAGTTTTCCCGCAACCCAACATGGGACATATGTTTCGGAAAATGGATGTACGAAACACCTGTAATGAATGCACTGCATTGTTTGTTTTATGCTCAGGTGGAGAGTGAGAGTAACGTACTCCAGGATGGCTCTCTGGTTGACCTGTGCGGAGCCACGTTACTCTGGCGCACAGCCGATGGCCTTTTCCACACCCCCACTCAGAAGCACCTAGAGGCTTTGCGCCAGGAGCTCAACGCAGCCCGGCCTCAGTGCCCTGTGGGACTCAACACCCTGGCCTTTCCCAGCATGCAACGCTGCAGCCGTGCCCTGACCAGTGTCCCCACCCAGGAGGAGAAGCAGCCCTGGGTCTATCTTGCTTGTGGCCACGTTCACGGCTACCACGACTGGGGCCACCGTTCTGAACGAGACGCCAATGCTCAAAGAGAGTGTCCCATGTGCAGAACCGTGGGCCCCTACGTGCCACTCTGGCTCGGATGCGAACCAGCCTTTTACGTAGATACTGGCGCACCAACGCACGCCTTTGTACCTTGCGGCCACGTGTGCTCTGAAAAGTCAGCCCGCTATTGGGCGGAGATTCCTTTACCACACGGCACCCACGCTTTCCATGCCGCCTGCCCCTTCTGCTCTACCCAACTCAATCTGGCGCAAAAGTGGGCAAAGCTCATCTTTCAGGAGCCTGTAGACTGAGAGTGTAGAGGAGGCGGACAGTGGATTATTGCGTAATTGAAGCGGAATCCAGTATGCTGAAGGACAATTCGTAGAAGGTGTGACCGCAAGCTGTGAAACTGCCCTTGAAATGCTTATGCTGGAGAGCAGGTTCTTGCTCACGAACGTGGTGATAGTTGGTAAATGACAGGTGTTCATCATGATTTCCTTAGTTATTTCGTCTACCGGCCTACAAGATGTCAATTCACACCAGCATTACCACATCACTCAGGAGATTTAATTCATTTCTATACCTGGCTTTAGACCCGAGGTGCTTTGTTTGGTTCTTTCTTGGTGATCAACCTTCCTGTGGAGTTTTGTTGCTTTAATTATCCTTCCGGTGCATTCCAAAGAACTTTACTGAACTTTAGATTTGGAACTATACTGTGCAGGATGGTCGGAGCCCCAGGACCAGGACTGAACATCCATTATTTTAAGTAGTTCAATGTGTGGGAACTCCCAAAGGTCAGGATCCCATATCCCAAACTCCACTGTAGGCTTCTACAAGGATCCACTTGTTGGAGCAGTGATTTGGGAACTGCAATACTAAAATGGTTGTTTCCAAAGATGAAAAAAATGGTGATTCTGTTTCTGCTTTACATGAAGTGCTACCAACATAACACTCCTAAAGGAATACTAATCAGCCACAGTGGAAGCTTTTGGATCGTGCATTATGGAATTAAAGTGATTTGTCATTTTAGCCTAGTCCTCTGTTCACCAATGATCTCAAGTATTTGGAAACCAACACATTTAGTTTTTCTTTTTGTCTCAAAGGTTAAGGATTTTAAGCTTTGACGTAAAGGTATTTTTATTCATACCGGGGTAACTGGTAACAAGATTAACAAAGGATGTTGCCAAATATTTCTAGAACTGGCTATAGAGTTAGTAACTTAAATAATTCCTGGAGTTATTTTTTCCACTTCTTAAACTGTGTCCCAGATATTTTAGTACTGCATATTGCTTGCCACTTGTTCATTTTTCCACATGTTGATATTGGTATACAATCAAAGTAGATGTGAAAATAGTTGACTATTCTGCAGTCGGCATCTAGACTTCTCCTAAATGTGGAAAATGAGATTGAAAACAATGATGGTGGAGGTTTATGGCGTAAAGGAGCTATGAAGTAGTGATCGCTTTGGTCAAAATTCTTCCTGTTTCAACTGTTTTATAAGCTTATGAGATTAAAATGACTTTTATTCCACTATTTTCCTAAAAATTATACAGAGATGGTTTCTTATGCCTAAAGACATTTTTACGGGGATGTGAAGAAGATATTTTAGGCATACTGAAGGGGTATTTTTTTTAAACGCTTGCATTTACAGAGGCTTTTTACTCACTGAAAAGTATTTTACTACACAATAGCCCATGTACAGTTTGTTTTAAAACAGATACTAATATATTTATTCAAATATGTACTTTACTGTGTGGTAGGTGTCTGTATGAATGTATCAGGCTGAACAGCAACATCTGGTCACCACTCATTTATAAGTGCATGCTGCGTCTGGATACTTAACCTGTGAACACTCAGTAGTCATATTTCTTTAACTGATGCTCAAGCCTTTGATTCTTTATCTGGTTATGCTTGTGTTTGCAGAATAACCCAATGTTCCTCCCGCACTCCATGTTAAATTCAGACCTAATATGAAATGTTAAAGGAACACTGTAAAACGAAATCACGTTGGATTTTATTTGTTAATTAATGAAATATTCTGTTCTCTCCTTAACACCTTGTGTGATTATACAGACATTCAGAGGGATGTTCCGTAGTGTTTTCTTGAAACATAACATATCATTGTGAAATGTTCACACCAAAAGCAAAATGAACTCTGGATGGGGAGTATATTTACTTAAGCAAAGCTACTGTTCATTAACAATGATGCTGATGATGTGAGGCTCTTCCACGTGGTGTTAACTAAAATAACGCAAATTTTTTTATTTTTTTAAAGCACCAAAAAGGATTTTGTGAAAAAGCTACTTTGTATTTTGTCATGTTGAATTCCAGGGAGCACAATTCATGTGTAAACTATTGTATATTTCAGTTGTGCAAAATTAGGCACAATAAACATTACACTACAGAGCGTTAGTGTTTTAATTGCAGCTTTGCAACACCAAGACAACAGTGTCAAAAGAATAAGCTTTTCACAACAAGTAGATAGTTTAACACTTGAACCTTATGAAAGATCAACCTCCACAAGAAACAACATTGACGTAATGCTATACATACACTCATCTATTAGCCATTTTCTTTCTTTTTTTCCCTGCATCTGTCAAAAAAAGTATCTTGGCCATTAAATTGTAATAATAATTAAAACACAAATGCCCATTTTGTGCTCCATGGTATGCTTGGGGGAAAAAAAATGTGTGTAAATAAAGGATATTTCACTCTCATTACACTCAAAAGATTTAGTTTAGTGATGTCTTCTAGATATTTATGTACTGGATCATGCATAATACATCTGTTACTTTTATTATTTCTGAGTTATGTGTTTACATTTTCTCTTAATGTCCATTCAAAGCGGAATTGTTTTTCATGTTTCAAGCATGAATAACCAAACTAACTCCTTTTTGTTCCACTGGAAAAAAAAAAAAAGTCTTGTGGGTTTGGAGCAACATGAAGGTGAGTGGATGTTGACGATTCTCATTTTTGAATGAACTAGGTGGTCACACCAGACATGTATTTTTTTCTTGTGTGAAATACAGTACATCACTTCTCTGCAATATTGTAAAAAAAAAAAAAAAAAAAAAACATTCATGCACTTTGATGCATTAACCAATTTGAGCAGCATGCCATTCAAAATTTTAAACAAAGATAAAACAATTTAGATTCAGTAGCTGTTTAAGATCATCTTTTTATTGTGCAGAATACTGTTGACAATGGAAAATATCTAGCAAAATAAATTCAGTGTTTTTGGCTTGTTTACCAATAAAAAATATCTAAATTTATTTTTCTACTATAAAGAACCTTTTGTGCATCTAAAAAGTTCAATGGATGTTTAAGGTTCGTAATGGACATATAGATGCAATAAAGAACCATTATCTTTCAGAGTGTATTAAGACTAAATTTATGATACTGTATGTTTTCTATTTTTTTTTTATTTTTATGTTTCTAACATAATAAATCTCAGTACATTTCAATACATTAAATTTATGCTTGAAACAAGAAAAAAAAAATTTAAAAACATAACCTGAATTTAATTTATTTAACTTAAAAATCTTGCGCAGGACAAAACTTCTGATTTAAAAAAAAAAAAAAAAAAAAATTCTTCTGAGTGGCTCTCACAGTCCACACATACTTGCTAATGTTAATTTCAGGCCTATAAAGAGTGTCTGTGTGCTTCCTCTTTCTTCAGTTGCTCTTGCGTTACATCGTCAAACCCATTATAAAGTTGAACGTTTAAAATTCAGTTCTCAACAAAATTATGAACTTTTTTTTTTTTTTGAAGATAACGCTCGAAAGATTGGCTAAATACAAAATTGCAAAATACAAAAATCCTCATGGAAGATCTGATGTTGTGAGAGATGAAAATAACGATTTGGTAAAGATTATTAAAATTAAGATTATTAAAGATGATTAGAAATGCTAACATCGTCCACGTCACTCATTCACATTTTTGTTTTGAAGTTACTGTATGTAGTAATTATTCACAGCCGCAAGAGGGTGCTGTAATCATATTTACTCAACTTGAAATATTGACACTAACCATCTTTTCATGAACTGCAGAAACATTCGTTTTTAGTACAATTTTCACATTTTTACCGCAAGTTATATTTGTTGTCAATTTTTCAATAATACATTTAATTAAGATATTTAAGAAGTTAAGCCATTCTGATTATAATAACCTGAATCTGTGTTTTAAAACATACTAAACTAAAAATAAAGTGCGTACTAATTTAAAATGCATAACACAAATTTAACACTAGAGATAAAAAAGTACCTAATTTAACGACATTTTTGCTTGCGCTTTAATATAATTTTTTTAGCTGTTAATTTTTTAAAGCATTTAAGCAATGGCTCGTCTGCAGCTGTGCATGCTTCCTGTTTAAAACTCACTGTGAATCCGAAAAATGACACTAAAATCACAGAGCGAAAGGGCTTCGAATAATGGCAACCGCATTATCCATCAAACAGTGTTGACATAATTCGTCCCTTTCATACGCGCTCTCTCTGCATATAAAAGGATTTCGATTTTGAGCATGCCATTTAGCTGCTTTGAAAGGGAAGATCAGTGGGATGCCATGACTGCTAATTAACATTTCCTCCTGTAGATGCTGGGGAGATGGGATGTGTCTCGGTCCCACTCAAGGTGACGGAAAGCTCGTTGGGAAATCTCTGCTTGGCTTGCCCCCCATTTAAGAGGGTTTATTAAAAATGACATAACGTCTGCATTTGTGATGAAGCTTACGGCTTGTCTTTTGTGGTTCCTGTGGAGCGTTATTTTGTATTCTCAAGTGTGATGTAAGATTAGATGCCTGAAAAGGCCACCTCACTACACAGAGGATGCCTGTCACAAATGGCGTAAATATGTGCACCTGTACTCTGTTCTCTCCTTATTTGAATTATGAAAATAAGATTAAGCCTTTTAATTGCTGCGGTTACCTTTCCTGTCTTTGCAGTGATAATGCAGTTCAGTAATAGTTTCTCCTATGAGATCTGTGCATCCACCAAAACTGCTCGAGACGTGGAAGGCTTAGCAAGGGCATATTGCATGATCGTGTTCGGAGAGAGAAAGAGAGAACGTCTTTTTATTTGCTGCCTGCTAGCTGTCTCCTGCAGGATGCCTGCCAGCTCAGACAGTCAACTGTTGAAGGATCAAAGCCGCAGAAAATCAAGACATGTCACCCCGATCAGCAGTGTCAAGATTGGGACATCAAACCAAAATATGGAGTGCCGAGTCCTTTAGAAAGGTGATTTCCATGCAGACAATATTAGGTTTCTTTATCAATCTTTTTGCACTTCATCTGAAAATTTATGATAATTACTGTGCAGTGAAGTGATCTTGTTCAAATTTGTTCATTTCTATTGTATGTTTACTGTATGTAACATGGATGTTGTAATGTTAGACTAATGCACCTTTATTGTTTTGAGAGATCTAATTGAGATTGAGAATGTGAAGCTTTTTTTGTCCTCTATTTGTTCAAAAAAAATTCAGTGACTTGAATGCACCTCTTCCACAACTGTCCTGATATCATAAAAAGTCCGAATAAAATTCTTGAAAAGAAAACAAACTAATATAATATTATAAAATATATAAAAAATCTTTAAAAAAGTTTATATTATAGTCTTCTAATCTTCTGTGTGGTATGACCAGCAAAGTCGTGGTCCAACCAATATTTAGAGAGAAAAAAGGAAATTATATCATAGAGAAGACCCCGCAAAGTCAAGAAGTCTCAGAAATATCAGACAATATGACCTTTTTATGATAAGGCCAGATTAGTTAAGGTTATAAAATGTCATGTGGTGCGACACACTGCGAAAAAATTAATTATTATTAAAAAAATACCTTGAAAAAAAATATTTAAAAATCTTTTTGAGGTGTGTGAACTCCAATGTATTAAAAGTGTAAATATAATTTTTTATTTGTACTTTTTTTATTGACTGGTTACACCACATGACATTTCATTGAAATTTAACTTTTGAAGACCATATGTGACCCTGGACCACAAAACCAGTCAAAAGTAGCATTTGTAAAAATAGCTAAAAATATATTGCATGGGTCAAAATTATTGATTTTTCTTTTATGTCAAAAAACCTTAGGAAATTAAGTAAAGATCATGTAACATGAAGATATTTTGTAAACAAATACATCAAAACTTAATTTTTTATTAGTAATATTCATTGCTAAGAACATCTGGACAACTTTTTTTTCAATATTTAGATTTTTTTTTTGCACCCTCAGATTCCAGATTTTCAAATAGTTGTGTCTCGGCCAAATATTGTCCTATCCTAACAAACCATACATCAATGGAAAGCTTGTTTATTCAGCTTTCTGATGATTTATGAATCCCAATAAAAAAAAAAACTGACCCTCATGACTAGTTTTGTGGTCCAAGGTTACATATAAAACCTTGAATAAATAAAGAGAGTTCACGGCACACGTGTTTTAGATTTTTCAAAGACCCCCCCCCCCCTCTTTTC